ACCATTCCGAAGCCAAGAACAAGGCAACCTCGGAAATAAACGCTGTGGCAGGCTATGATAGACTACTCAGACCTCTCCAACCTCGCCTGCCTCAATAGCGTTGTCAAAGAATCCTTGCGGCTCTGCCCTGTCGATCCCCTCCACGTTCCCCGTGAATCAAGAAACGAGTGCACCATTGGAGGATTCCGTGTTCCTTCGGGCACCATGCTAATTCCAAATGTGTAAGCAGTGTACCAAGATCGTGAGCACTGGACTAATCCTATTATAAATAGTTATATTTTAAACAAACCTACAAAAACAATTGCAAAAAGATTTAATGAGGTTCGGCAATCAATATGATCACTTACATCTCTCTCATAGTACAATCGATCATGATCCCATTAATAATCAATGAAGGGTTATAGCCAACAAAGTTTAAAATAAAGGCACCGACAACTTGCAGTTCACAGATCTAGATGAAAATAACAGTTGCTATAGTAACAAAAAGCATCGGTGACTGCCATTACAGATCTACAGAATCAGATAGAACTGAAAAGGGAATTATTTGTAGAATACAAGAGCTCTTGCACCAAGAATCAAGATTAAGCCATCTATCTCTAAAAGACCCTTCAGCAGAAAAAGAAAAATCTCAAATGAATATGTTGGCATTTTATTTCAAATATACAGCCAACTTTGGTGTTAAGAGCAACCATTAGCAGCCATATACTACAGTCTTGTGATATAACCATGAAGAATAGAGGCAAATAATCACATTTATCAGAGGGGTAATCACCTTTTACACAAGTTAATGGCTAATGGACAGCAATAGAGATTGTGGCTCTAAGAAAAATACCGAAAGAACTTTAAAGCTTTTTTGGAATATACTTTTGATGGATATGGTAGATAAGTCTTGTCCATCTTGGTGAAAAGTGCCTCTGAACAGGAGGGGGGAAACCCCTCAAAACTTTTGATGATAATATTTGTTAAGGAGCATCTCGCAATATTCTCCAAAAGTAAGTCTCCCGTTTGGTGGAATCAACTGTAAGAAACATAGAAAATTTTGAACAAAAGGCAAAAGGAATATTGCATTTCCCATTGAGTTATCAGCTTAATAATACATACCTCTCCATGATGATGGATATATGCTGGAAATTGAAGATTCTCATCCCTAAAACAAAGGTAGCCATAGTTAGTTTTAGATGCACCTTGGGAATGTCACATAAAATTCCTAAAGCGAGTAATTGATAAAATTGAGAAAAGAGAATGACAGTTTGCAAATAGGACAATTCCGTCATTTACCATGAACACTTAGAATAAGCACCTAAATTTCACAATAAAAAAGCTTAGCGAGTGGAACGGTGATGGTTTCTCATAGAAAACTTCACTGAAATCAGCTTGACCACAAAGTTGCTGATTTGAAAAGGACAGACCAACCTTTTACTTGATAGAATAATTTATACTTTGAAATATTCTGTAGTTAACTGAAAGTGTTTGTGTATATATTTAATACAGGATGTATCAACCCATAGATATATTTAGCTAACTACAGTATCAGTTAAATGAAGAATATATTAAAAGGGAATAAAAGGATGAATCCTTGTAATCAGAGGACTAAAAATTGGACAAAAGATAAAGAGACAGCAGGGATAATTTCTGGAAGATCCCTAGGGGCTAAACATAATTTTCAAAGAAAATAATGTCAATTATCAGCAAAATTTTGGCTCGACTGGTCTTAAAGCATTATAACAGATTGAACATACCAATCAGGCTGCATAAACATTGCAAAACTTGAACGATCCACACCAATAGCTGCTTCCCCTCTAGGTGCCTACAACATAAATTAAGGAAATTCTTTTATCTTAAAATACAAATTAGATAAATACTGTTAAAGCGAGTTGTTAGTAGATGTAGTTCATATAAAAAAAAGGTTTGGTTAAAAGACGAACATCTGTCACATCCCGAAAAGAAAATTAGTCCACTTTTTTTTTTGTGTTGGGATGTTATGTGGTATATGACAACCAATATCTAATTGAGATTTAGCTGTAGCTAGCAATTTTGGGTGAGAAAATTGGTGAAGGTCCACAAGAGGTCACGTTTGGGGAGACTAATAGCGGGATGAGGGATTTCAGAATCCTAGCTCAGGCATGACATTCTTTTTGCTCTATGGAAGAATGTGAGTTTTATCAGCTATCTTCTAAATAAAAGATGCATTGCCAGAATGTAAAAGATCCTAATGCTTTGACTAAATGGGAAAATGAAAATGTGTATAATGTAACTTCTAAAAATAAAACTAATTTCCATATCCCGCACAGAGTATGGATATCATGCAATCAAATGAATAAACCCAATACCAGAACATGATTTATGATAACAGAAAGCTCTTAATAATATATAAAAGACTTTGAATTTGAGAAAAGAAATGCGCTATTTGATTAGATTGAATGATAAGAAAATTGTGTGCAAACTTAGATGCTATGAAGAAAGAGCATCAGCGTAAAGTTGCAATTGCATGGAGAATTCACTAGAGAACTTCCCCTCAATGTTGAAAACTCAACACTTTTCATCTCACATTTATAAGAACTGTTAGTCTCTGATATACCGTAATTATAAGAAGTGTTTTTGCGTAGAGTACCTGAACACAGTGAGGAGTAGCACATAGACGACCTCCCGATAAGATTTCAGTAGTTTCCCCAATTTGGAACGCTAATTCATCTTCTCCAAAGACAACCTAATGTTTTAAAATCATGGATATGCATAAAATCATTATCTTGTAGCACTAAGAATCATGGCTCAAAATCTTAATATTTGAGAGCATTGATATATCCTAGAATTTGAATGTTGAGTTCACTACTTAATACAATGTCAAATTCCCAACAGCAAACCAATATATTCAAAAAAAAAGTGTAAAACATGCAAATAACAAAACATAATTTGGTAAAGCAACTTGGCCTTCTACTAATTTTTCTTATAGTGAAAACTCTATGTATATGTTAGATTACGAACATATTTTACCTCAACGACAACAGAATTCCAATGTACCAAAGACTTTAAGATGATGTCAAAACCATCCAGGTTTATTAAATTCAGTCAGGTACGTATTTGATGTGGATCGAAAGACATTCCATGATACCCATGGTTTTGGACCACGGAAAGGACGCACAACTTTCTGAGGACCTGTTATAATATGCTAGAATATAAAAATATTTTCCCTGAATGGCACCAGAACTCTGAAGTGTTTGTCCAGTCATAGGGGTTTTAAAAATAAGCAAATGGGAATAGTTTCACAATTATTATCCTTTCTAATTTTTTAGACAATCTGCATGAAGTTTACTTTTGTAAATTATAGAGTAATTAGTGCAAAGAAGTTAAAATGAACTATGCTTCTAAAAGTTTAAACTAGATAGTGGAGATGAAGTTCACAAAGCAGTCTGATAAACTACACTACTATTTAGATATGGTTTTCATTGACGAGTTAGGCTCTATTGTGCAGAACCTGTAGTTGTTTGACCCATAAAAGTCTCTGGATAATTAATTTCATGATGGGTACGTACGTGCTCTAATAGCTTAACCTTTCAGATAAACTGTTTATCTGACATATTATAGCAGCAGATTATAGTCTCAAAATCATAATACCTATTTTGAAAAATATCCATTTATCCACATGTTGTCTGCTTTTTAAGCATGTTGATATCTAAGTAGAAGGTTTTCCACATGGTGTCAAGGCCTACATAAGGGGGAGTTTCATTACTAAATTTGCTTGAAATACCTTATTAGCTTGCAGCTCACCAATTTAAACTCTTAGATAAATTGATTATATAACAATTAATCAAAAAGAACATGCTACATTTACAAGAAGAATTTAAAAACTTCCCTAATGGTACAATTTGTTCATATAACCTGTGGCATAATGCTATTCAACCTCTTAGCAAAAATCGCCATCTTACCTACTCGATAGACTCCAAAGGAACTATGATTAAATTTTGATTTCTCTGTAACATTTTTTAGACTTCCTATAACTTAGTAGTCATTCCATTTCTGTCTCTAACAGAGTTCTTATCCTGGCCAGAATCCGCTATTATGCTTAATCTCAGTTATGTCCCCTGAAAGATTAATCATACAATTTGTATTTATAGATTTTTTGACTAGAAGCCATGTGCTACTCTACGAATGTGATTCAGCTAATATTAATGACACTGTCATCACGTATTCATAAATCTAGCATGGGAAGACAGATTTCAGATATCTTGCATTTATATTCTAGCTTGAACCTTAAACCAAGATTTTATGCGTAGTTTCAGTAAAGTTGTATAATTTATATAATTATCCACCCCAATGTCACCAACTTCTATCCTTCATTCTCTTACTTTCAACCAACACCATAGAATCAATAAACAATATACAGTTTATAACTTTCTTAGAGCTGTAAAAACAAATTCAATCAAAGCAACCAATAATGAAAGATGAATTAGAAGAAATGAAAAAAAAGCAAATAATTACATCATAAGTACAAGGATTATAACTTTACTTTGACAATCTCATTATTACGTGCTTTTATGTAGAGGCCAGCAGCACTATCAGGACTTGAAACCTTTACACCATTTCTCATGAACATGCCACATGCAAGACCTTTTAAGAAAATTTTAAATATTAGAGAACAAAGATACATGAAAGAAACATGGCACTGATTTCTGTACTGGCTACTGCTTTTGATTGCAGTCAGAGATAAAAATAAAATGCTTTTACTGCCCCCCCCCCCCCCAAACAGAAAAAAAACCGACCCCAAAGTGATTTTGCGGGCATTTTTCAATTAACCCCCAAAAGGTTTGAAAAAATCACTTAACCCCTAATAAGTTATGTCAGAGAATCCCCAAAGCTAACACTGTTAGTCCTGACATGTCACGCGCTGTCAAAAGACCAAACTACCTCTAGTTTATACAAAAGCTCTTCTTTCTCCTTCTGTTTGCTCATGTTCGCTTCCAGGTCAGAGCTCCAAATCTCAAGATTTTCCTTCGAAACTCTACATTAATGCTATTTTATGTAACACTGTCTGTGTTAAGTCATAAAAAAATATTTTGGAGGTTTTCTGGATTCCCGAAACTTATTGGGGGTTAATTGAAATTTTCAAACATTTTGGGAGTTAAGTGAAAATGCGAAACATAATGGAAGTTTTGTTTAAACGTATTCAAAAAATGAAAGTGGGAACAATTGTAGGATTGGTACTATTCCTAAGTAGGCAGATCATTAAGTTATTCAATAAATTGCGTAGACTGAGAGATGTTTAATGAATGGAGGATTAACGCTCAACATATTTAAAGGAAAAAGCTGATATGCAAAGAGGTACTGATTATTGTGGAACCAAGCTTATGAACTGTAACAAAGGTTCGGGATAGAGTTGGGTGGAGTGGTTTTGGGAGGACCTTTCTACGGTTTAAGGAACAAGCAAAAAAAAGATGAACTACTTAGATTATTGTATGGAAAATAGGCATTGCTAGAGTAGGAAGACACAAACGAAAGACAGACAGTTTAATTTATACATCAGTATCCTATCTCATGAATATCCAACTAAAACATTCAGATTACTAATTCCAATACATGGAATAAAATAAGAGCATCAACAGACTTGTATGTATGAATTATCCAAATGAGAGCGCAGTGTATCTGTACTCAAAGACATGATTGTCAAAATTGAAACATTCCGAACACAAACCCAATATAATGCAACTACATAAAATATGAAACTAGCACTAATGAAACAAGTATGTTGAGCTAAAAGGTAAATATCTACATTCCACAAACCCATAGAACTACTATGTGCTTTGAGCGATTAGATAGTGAAAACATCCACCTGCTGGTGAATGACCCAAATGCGTTATCGTACAAAGACCTCTAATTTCCATCGCTTCTTCTTTTAATTGACAATTTCAAGTTCAATGTGTAAGAAAATGATCTGAACATTTTAAGAATGATAAATTATGGTACACAGTATTATCTAATATTTTAAACAACAATGAGACTTTCCTGGAGTCAACAAGCATCTGGACCATTACTGTTGTAAGCTGTGAAAATATCAAAACAGTTCATACCTTTTTAGGACTTCAATTTATTTGTTAAAATTTTGAAAGATGAGCAAAATCGAATAATTTGATTCATGAAAAACAAAGAGCAGTTAGTAACTATGAGGATCTGGAATATACTCAGTTGTGGTCAAAAACCAAAGATAAGCATCTAATGGAGGTGTAATTTGTGTGCAAAATATCTTATCTAACATATTTCAACCAACTGAGCAAACCAAGTATTCATAAACTAACAAGTCAAAACCTCCTCTTTTAGCAGGTAAAATTTCAGTGCAAAGGCATAAGTCCAACTGTTTTCTTTAATTCAGAAGAATACAAGTTTATCATATAATTTAAAGTGCAAAGTAAACAATTATATATTAGAGATATGACAGCTAGATATTTTTGCAATAACAGTGACCTACCTGTGAGAGAACCATGGTCAGTATGCCAGCCACACCATGATGATACGGAGCCTAAATCTTCCATGCATTGGCTGCAAAATATAAATTGATAAATCCACAAACTTGCAACATCAGGACTTCTATAAATCCTTCGTTCCTCTTTTTCTAGACCCTCAAATGAGGTTATATCAGCCCCTCGAGTCCTAGACAAGGCAACAAACTGATATACTTCTAAGCACCCACCCCAACCCCCCACCCCCCCCAACCCAAAAAAAACCCTCCTCTTAACTACTGTTTATCAAAATGATGTAGGCAGTATGTTACTTGAGATGTTGAATATCATAACCAACAAACATCATACTAACAATCATTCAAACTATGTGAAACGTATAACAGAGTGGCTTACACTGAAAGGATATTAAGACATTTGGAGCAGATATGCAAAGAAAATAATGCAGTAGATAAAAAGTAAAATAAATAAATAATATTATGATAATCACCTTCTTTGCTTTGGAAAGTAAAACAACAAACGACCTTTGTGACATCTAGAACGTTTTAGTATCTGCTCAAGGCCTCCATCCTCATCAAAAGGTACTGCTTTAGATACTAGACATAGAAAATAAATAAGTCGGATTAATTTATGAATATTGACATATGTCCAACATTTAGAAAATACAACTGCATAGAGATTTCAAATTTCAGTAAAAAGAAAATAAAAAGTTCATCATAGAATTAAGACCTTTTAAAACATATACTTGCAATTTTTGCAAAAACTTATTAATGGAAGTTTCACCCAACAGTCACAGGATAAATTACAGAAATTTAACTCCAAATAAAACATGCAGAAAACTTTTAAATATAATGTGAACTAAAAGTTCATTAAAATATGAATATGTATGTAGATTTGCATAAAATTTCATAAAATAAGTAAAAGAAAATACAGTATAAGCTATATATATCAAAAAAAAATTATATAAGCATAAGCTATCTATACCAAACACATTACATATTCTACAATTGAAAAAATGTGACTTCTTAGAAAATTAATTATCATCTTATATTGATTAGCCAGTAAAATTTCACTTATTTGTTTGACATGGCAGGACTATGACAGGAACAGTGAACTTTTAAACTAATCAAATCTCAAAGATGGAGAGTTACATACAAATTGGTTCTCTCCGCACCAATGTGCGATGAAATTGTTACTAAAACAAGTTGGTGAGGAATATTATACGGAAAAATTTTTATTAAGAACATTCTCTTACCCTTTCTTATGATTACTTAGCCTCGGTCGCCCAATTCACATGACATTAATACTATAGATTTTAAGTTTCTTTTAACCTAAAGAAAGAAGTATAAATTGTGTTTTGAGGCTGCATGAACTAAAGCTATAAAAGAATCAAGTAAGATTTTCTACCCTCTACAATACTTAATGACAAGACCCTCTAGCGTACACAGATTCCCTAGCCATGACGAAGCAGCCAGCTCACAGAGGAAGTCATGTGCCAGCTCACTAATCGATTTTGTTAATTTTTCTGTGAAACCTTGTTCCCCGAGGTTCCCTCGCCAAAAAGAGGGAATCAGTTCACAATTGAAGTCATGTAGCAAGCTGACTAGTCGATTTTGAAGTCGTATACCATAATTCATTTTTTTAAAAGGTTCTGAATTGACGGAGAGAGCTTTGCAGTTTTGTACTGCTATGCATTTTGTACTTGTCATCAAGCCAAGGAATTATTGATCTAAGATCCACTCATTTTTTGGCCAAAAATTATATAGGGTTTTTACAGCTAGCTTTGGTGATAGGGAACCAAAAGAGAGATGGAAATTTTGGGGAAGATGGCAGTGAATGTAATCCCTAGCCACCGCTGGTGTGGTTTTGGTTTCGAATGTCTGGAAACCGAAACCGAACCAATTCAGTTTCCGGCCCATTTCAGGACATTTTGGTCTGAATGGGATTTACATTTTACTGACCCGGCTCAATTTCCGGGAAACCAAAACCGAAGCAAACAAGGGAAATGGATCAAGTCGGAAACTAAAATCTTATGTGGCAACATAGTCAGGTCCCAGAAACCACATTTCTCATGTTTTTTTTTCTTTTTTTTCGCTTGCTAAATGCTAACCAAACACACCCTTAGAACAGTGGAAAATAGAGATGTCATTGGTACATGTGCAACTTGTTGGAAACAATAGCATTCTACCAGAGAACCTCAGGTATGAAGAGAACTACCCTGCTGTGTGGAAAAAAGTGTTATGATTCTTTAGCAAGACGCATGTACGCTCCAATGTCTTTTGAAGATCTTGTTCTTCTAATTCTATGGGGAAAAAAAATCTGGATCCATAATTTTACAACTACAAACAAATGTGCAATCATCTAATCCACAATTTAATAACAATTAAATATAACAGAAAACTAAAGATTTTCCCCCCATCCATTTGCATAGGAAAGAAGCAGGGCAAGAAATTTTCATAACTGTGAACAAGCATGCACAAATACAGAAATTTAAATCTTGAAATAGAAGATCAATCCTAAAATAGTACCATACTGATCACAGTGATAAGCCAGCATCAGCCCAACATCTAACATCACCTTTCCAAGAGCCTTGAATGCTGCAAGGTTATCAGACAACATACATCATTCATGCTTGTTCATGCTAGTTTTCTAATCTGAAAAGTTATCAGACAACATATGTCATTTCATGCTTGTTCATGCTAGTTTTCTAATCTGAATAACAACTCACTAACGAGCCAGTATTAATCAATAGAATAATTTGGAAGACTATTTGAAAAAACAAACTAGTTTAATTAAATCGGTAACTAGGAAGATATCACACTACAATCAAATTTGTCAATTATAACCAATTTATATAATGATGCATACTGAAATAACCAAGACAAATAGGATCTACAAGACTGCAATTCAAATGATCTTGAACATAGAGAAAAACAAATAAAAAAAAGAGACTCCATATAAGTGTACATAGATAGAGTAACTCCTCAGGCTTTTTGTATAATTTGAAGCCAAAATATAGTTAAAAGGTGTGAGCATAATGAGTTTGGCCCCCCTCCACCACCAACCCCCCACCCCCAGACCTACAGATGATCCGGACTTGAAAAGAATGTGAAATGGTGGCACTCGTTGTTTACCCTTGTGTGATAGCTTAGAGTGAAGTGATATATTTGAGGATATCCAAGAAGAAACCTAAAGCATAAATAATATGGGTTAACTTGCTAGCAGCTTAATACTGAAACTGAACCTTACATGAGACCTGGGGACTGAACATGGTCTGGGTGGTTTGGCAAAAGAGAAAGATAACATCTTATGTTTGCAGCTGATTACTCTCCCCCATCAATTTCTCACTACTAGTTCTAACACATTTGCTTCACAGATTGTTATCTTGTTGCATATATTGGCATTTCGTTCATTGTGCATCCTAAAGTTATAATCAGCCATATTCACCCCTCATCATCTTTCCTCGGTTGCATACCATGGGTTACAAACAATACTTGGTAACAGTCGAACGAATGGTTTTGGGTGAAGTGTTTACACTTGCTTTATCAGTGCCTTCATAACTTTCTGAGTCACAAGAGCTCATGAGAGCAAACATTTCAAATTCTGCCTAAATATCATTTTCAAGCTTTAAAAAGAAAAGCAAGCCTCTCTTTACCAAAATCCCTTCATTGCATCTGCACATAACCTTATAACTGCTACATGCACTAAACCTTATACTATATCTGTGAAACTTCTACTATGTAACCATTTTTACATTACTCTTCCAGTTCCACCAGACACCCATCATTCATCTTTGGCCAACATCATGTAAAGTGGGCATGGACACGAAGTTTGCCAAATTATCTTAGGCACAAGCTACATTTTTCACCTTTTTATCACATATCCACATTCATATATAATTACATAAATAGCCCCCTTAGTTGTATATTTCAATACAATGTCAAAGGCCTCTAACTGCAACATTACCAAAATATCACCGAAAAATCAGATAAATGCTAGTGAGAGGTTTAGTTGTAAGTGAATAGCACCTTGTGCATTTTTCATCCAGATGGATTATCAGATAAGATTTGTATCACAGAGGATCCACATTAAAATAAAATATCAGCCTGAAACTTCTACCAGCATCCATCCTGAATCCCCTACCCCGTCAAAATCAGAACTTAGGCACCCAAACCCTCAACAGTTTTAGGTAGAAACAGGTTTGATTATCAGATTCTCAGGACCAATTTCATCCCTTAGGAAGGAAGACACAGTTTCAACTGTAACTTCAACATATCCAGGAATTTGTTGCAAATATAGCACAACATTCAGGAAATAAAAATAAATAAAAAATTCCAGAAATCTTCATTGCCTGAACTTATGAAAATCTTCCAAACAATGCATACGATGGGGCTACATAAATCAAATGAACTAATGAAGTATAATGTGCAGGAAGCCTGAATAATGAAGGTTAGCATAAGTCTAAAGGCTGTTATTAGAAATTCAGTTAGGGAATGAATTTCCTCACACCATAATGCAATGATAAAATTTACAGTGGGATCATCTGATAAATGCAAATGTGGTGTGCCTATAGTACAATCTGCAGTAAATTATAAGGAACTGCATTCAATATGGCTTTGTACAAGCATGAAACAAGCAGAAATTCATGGAGAAGTACATGTTGCCCTACTTTCCAAGTTTACAAGTATACAACTTAAAAATTGAGAGGAACACCAACCAACTTCAAGCTCCGGTAAAGCAGTGATAGGCCATTTATTCGGTCTACAATATGATGCATACCTATAAAACAAATTCCCAAGAATATATACTGTAACACAAAATTTTTAAAAAAAATCCACACTTATTCATATTGAAATTACCATGTTCCAGTAACATGGACATCGAACAAAGCCAAGTAAACTGAAACTACATCATTCAAACAGCTAATCAAGCAAACATAAAAGTTTTTTAACATAAAATCTGAGATTAAAAATTAGGGCCAAGTCTGTTAGCAGTTTAGTTCAAAGGTGGTTAGGGCCATGACTTTCTTAAGTATGGGGTAAACACATACAGAGCGGATATCTCCTTAGCAAACCAAATCAAACATAAATGAAAGTAACCTTTCATGCTTTCAGCCCATAGCATAAAAATATTAAAGACTAACAGAAATAGTTACTTAGCGTATAAGCACAAACTAATTCAGTCCTCATGGCTTAAAAAGTAAAGAGAAACTATAGGTCTATCTGGGAACAACACAAAACTGGGTCAATTTGTTGCTTAAACCAATTGCCAAACAAATTATTAGAAAAGGCTGGAAATATGGTCCTTAACATATTAATAAGTTGAATCGTTTAACTATTAAAAGGAGAGAAAAGATTGTGTATTTCATGTTGTGTGCGCATGTCCATAAGAGAGAGGGAGCGAGGGAGAGTGAGCTGGAATACAGTCAATGTAGTTTCATTAGGAGAATTTATAGATTTTGGTTCACTTGGGTTTGAGTAAGTTAAAAGTTTTGCCAACATAGTTTAGTTGGTATAAGATCCAACCTCACGTTTGCACAAAAGATGGCATATGCTAAATGGAATATTTCAGTCAAAATTTTTCCATCTAAATTAGTAAATTGTCATTTGCTTCCTCCAGAAGTTTGCAGATAACTGGGAAAAAAGAAGAAGATCTAAGCCCATATTCTAAAACCTTTTTTGTAGCAATAGTTTAAATTCAAACAAATACAAAAATTAACATGCTTTGCCGTTTCATGCATATTGGTTTAAGACTTCACATATGTAACAGTATTAAATCATTCATAAAAAATGGAAGATCAATGTTTAAACCATGTGTGCATGCATAAGAGTACAAATAATTTGAAGATCTAGGCTGGGAAACAAAGAAAATAATTATTAGAAACTGAGAATTAATACCGTTGCATAAGAGAAACATCAGTGGTTGGTACATCTAGAATAGGATTAGCATAAAAAGATCCTTTAAATGTATCTGCAAACAAATAATACCAGCAAATATTTAATACTTCAACAGATACAAAGTAATGTTCATCTGAAAACTTCAAAAGGTTTTCCTCACAATTGGTAGAAATTCAATTTTCTTCTTCCATATACATTGTTTGGAAAATTGTTTCTATCTGCTCGAGTTATAAATGTATGTGTATATGTACATGCATATGTAATTCGTTGAAGATAGATCAACATATATAACATATAGATAATAAAACTGCCACATCTTACGCATATGAACTTCATGTAGGATTTAAGGAAAAAAAAATCATGGACTTTCAACAGTAAGAGGGATCTCACAATCCTTCCAAATTGTGCATAAAGTCCGAAGTTGATCTTCTTTGAAGCACATCACATACCTAGTTTACCAGATTCCAGTTTCTCCTTCCCATGACTCCATCCAATGTTATATCTGTGCAATTGTGAAAAAATGATTCCTTGAGCACCAAAAGAGGCAAACGTATTCAAGAGTATATGTAAGAACATAATAATTCACATGAAAATAGAAGGAAAAATATTCAGATGAGGCAAACTACAGACAAACCATATAGAACCAAATATAACAATAATTTGAATACTTGGCATAACTTATGATTGGCAATTTAGATATTTCTATCATGTTGCTTGTGAGCAGTAATTGGTGTCAAGTAGATACTGTGATTCATACAATGGGAGAGAGCTTCAAATAGTCAAGGAAATAACATTAGATTTTGTTTAGTTCAAATCCAAATATGTTCACTGATTCAACTCCTCTTGTATGAAAAGAGATGGAGAATAAACATGAGAAAACAAAAGAGCGCACTGTGTGTGTGTGTGTGTGTTTGTGTGTGTGTGTGTGTTGTGTGTGTAGAGAGCAAATAGGGGTTGGCTGTCCATCCACGGTCATGGATGATTGCTAACATGATGCATATCCAAGCATCATCTATAATCTAGATATGTCTATGACAAGGATTACGTTTACAGTAGTCTGCATGTGTGCTAAGTCAGTGAGATGCTGGCCAAGACTGTAGAGAAACACATCAATCCCATTTACTCATACGTGTGTGCAAACTAGGGGGTGTGCTAAGTGATGGTTAAGTTCAAGATGTGAATATCACATACACACACAATCAAGGTTTTAAATATCGGTTATCAGGAATTTATCGGACGGCCAAAATCCTTATCGGATAGCGGAAATCGGGGATATATCGGTGATAAGTAGTATTTATCGGAGTGATATACTAGATGATGTGTATATATAATATAACAATTAAAAAATATAATCTAATCATGCTTAATGAAATATAAACATACCAAAATGTAAATCATCATGTTTAGAATCACTAACAAATTGTAGAAAGCGAAACTTGCATCATAGCCTTGAAAAAATATAATGTTAGTCAAAATGGGCCGATAATCCCGATAATCCTGATAAAAAAGTCTTACTTATCGGCCGATAAGTGCCGATAACACCGATAAATCGCCGATAAACCTACAAAAACGATAACCGATTAAAAATCCAATTTATCCTAGCGGAGAGCTCCCAAATCCGATAACTCGGCCGATAATATCGATTATCGGCCGATATTTAAAACAGTGCACACAATCAAGCACACATTGTTAAACTACAACTTACTCACAAAACCAACTGTTAAATCCATCATACATTTATAAATAACCTTGCAACACACAACAACAACAACAACAACTAGGCCTTTATCTCAAATGTTTGGGGTCGGCAAATAACCTTGCAACACAATGCAAATTAATTGGCAAACTCAATATTTCACAGCCAAAGCACTCAAGATTAAACCAGCCTGTATATGTACCCTATCACAGAAACGCACGTGTGTGCTGGATGACCAATCCAATGAAAATCCTAAATGTAACAGTACAAACATGGCTCTTGCAGAAAAAATTGACGATTTAATGATATCACCTATCTTTCCCTCAATCTAAGTTTCATTCTCCTACTCCAAAAAATGCACAGCTACTACTTAGCAAGGTTTTAAATGTCGGTTATTGGGGATTTATCGGACGGTCAAAATCCTTATCGGATAGGGAAATCGGGGATATATCGGGGATAAGTAGTATTTATCGGAGTAATTACTAGCAAATAATAAACAAACATAAGCTTCAAAAAATATAATGTTAGTCAAAATGGAATAATAAACAAGTAAATAATAATAATATAACATCAAGAATGAAGAACCATCTACGCATCTACATAATTATTGTTTAATCATGAGATTCATAAACTGACTTTCTAAGTTGATATTTAGTAGTTATGAGCCATTATCAATATCCATAAACAAACATAAGCTAATCACCAATCAACCAAGTTCTAAAAGCAACAAATAGTTCATAATTTGTAAACATTCAAAGAGCAAATCCAAAATAAAGTAAAAGCTCCCAAATCCTACTCATCGTCCGATAAAGCCGATATTTAGAGCATACTTATCGGCCGATAAGTGTCTTTATCGCCGATAAACCTCAAAAAACGATAACCGATAAAAAATCCTACTTATCCTAGCGGAAAGCTCTCAAATCCGATAACTCGGCGATAATATCGGATTATAGGCCGATATTTAAAACCATGCTACTTAGCATTATTATCTTGTCAAGCAGCTTACGTCCTCAAGGCAAGCCTACCTAACGACTTCCTCAAGTGAAGGTCATGTCTTTAATGTTCTTAACAAGTTTGTTAATCCTATAGAAGCTTTAATAACACTGGTTTCTTATGTGTTGAGCAAATATTTTGTAGCTTAAAATTTTAAGTGCAATTACAAATTAGTTACAATAGAAATATATACATTTTATGTTGTAAGAATATGAAAGTTAAATGCTCCCAAGTCAAATGTTACACCATAAGTATAAACTAATATATATGAACTAAGATATTCATGATATAGTTGCTGACAATCTTTTGAAATAGACGATCCACAACTTTGGGGAAAGTGGTACGAGATTCATAATAAGTACCTGCTCTTTGGATCTTCTAGGCTGCTCTTTACTTCATCAGGCAGGCTTGCTACTCTGAAAGGAAAACAAAGCATTATAAATCCTCTGCCCCACATGGCTCTACAACTATGGAAGCTTGTAAAGATCAAGAAACAAAGTTAATCATGCCTGGGTGAAAGTTGAAGGAGATTTTGACGTAAAAAGGAGAAATCAGGCACCTGTGGTAAACATAGCAATTAAAATACAATAAGAAGATAAAAGAAAAAATATTAAATCAAACTCCAAGTTCAAAAGTATTGCAAGGTGACTAACACAAAAAATATATATAAATACATATATACATGTGTGTGCATGCGTGCATGTGTGCGCACACAAACGGTACATTTGGTATGAGCTGAGATCATTTAGCAAAATAAGCTACCAAGATACGGGAATGGTGAGGTCTACCTACTTCGTTGTGACTATCAGAGTGGGCTACACTAGTCTGTCTCTTGATAGCTAATTTCTTAAGGGTTGTTTGGTTTTTGATAACTAATTTCCTAAGGGTTGTTTGGTTCAAATCCTAAAATTTTAGTATACGTAATCTCCTAGGGAATTTTAAATCCATAGGGTTTTATACATGCTTTGGGATTTCTAATATTTTGGTTGGTTCAACATTATTATAGGAAAGCAAATCATAAAATTTGAACCGAAAATTATAGAATAACAATTTCTAGAATTTGTAACCTATTATTTGTTTCATTTGTAAAAAAAAAGAGGTGAATATGGGTTGCTTGGTGCGCTTACCTCCTCACAAGAGAACAATACCACATTATAGCAATTTGGGTAACCATACCCATTAATAGGAATTGGCAAATCCTCTCCAATTCATAGGAATTGGCAAATTCCAAAAAAGACTTGCTTTTTGCATTTTAGGGATTCAGCATTACAAAATTTTTATTGAAACAAACACCAAGTATAGAATCCAAAAAAACCAAAAAATGACATTGTTTGCTCCTACAATTTGCAATCCACCCTAAATGCCAAAATTTTTGATGAACCAAACAACCACCAAATAAGTTATCATTTCATACCAATTTTATAAGGAGGATTTTTCAAAAAAGACCTTTTTTTAAAAAAATAATTAGTAAAATGACTTTTTTGCTAAATAATTAGCAAAATCGACCTCTTTTTGGCCATCTCACCAAGGCTGACCAAATAAAGGTCGATTTTGTAAAAATTAATTTTTGAAATAAACAAGACTACTAGTCCTATGTATTCAACAAGCGTTAATTACAAATCTAATTAAACTCAAAAAAACACATGAGACTAATAGTCCTGTGATTATAGCAGAGACTCCCAGCCTCGCCTAACAAAATAAACAGAACTATCAGTTACGTGCTTTTAGCAGAGACTCTTCTAACCTCGCCTAATAAATACACAGGACTAGTAGTTCCATGTATTTGTCGGCCCCATATAACGCCCACTGCCCTAATTCTCCAACCCCCAGGTTAATCTCTCAGCCTCTCGATCTCTCGATCTCTCGATCTCTACACACTCGATCTCTCTCGACTCACTTATCGCTCTCTCTCACTCGCCTCTCGCTCAATCTCAATCTCGATCTGTCTCTCACTCGTCTTTCTCTCTCTCTCTCAATCTTCTGACTCATCTCTCTCACTCATCTCTCTCTCTCTCAATCTTTGTATCTCTCTCACTCGATCCCAACCACGATCTCTCTCTGACCAAACTCTGTCCAACTCCGACGCTGACCAATGCCGTCCAACTCCTATGAACTCCTTCTTAAGGTAAAATTTCTCTTTTTCTATAACTTTTTTATTTCAATTGCAATATGAAATTTGTGGTGATTTTTGAATGCAGAGTTTGGAATTACGATTTAACTAGAAATTGATAAATTAATTTTGATATAGGATTTTTCTTTTAGAGCTCGAGTAGAAAATTGCTATAGGAAATTTATTATAGATTTTTATGGTTTCGAAATATATAGTGAAATAAATAATTTGCATATGATAGAATGTTAATCTTTCAGCTTCTATGGCGAAACAGAATACCCATTATTTGCCTTTTAATGGAAGACATAGTGTTGGATTGAATAGTATGTCCATATATAAGGGAGGATCTAGAAAATTGTTCATGTTATCTAAATCATGCAATTTTAATGGAATGATGAAGCAAATACAGAGTTGCTAGAATTAATCATGGAGAGTATGCACTTAAGCTGCTCTGTAATTGCTCGATAAATGAGAATAAAATAATTGCTATTGAGATCACCAACGATCAAGAATTGATTGATATGAAACAACTCTCTCAAAAGCAAATCTCAATTGAGTTGTGCATTGAAAACAATTTTGATTTCCGTTCTTACCTAATTTTTGAAAGCTCTGAGAGTTTTCCCACATGCTTAACGTAGAAAATAACTCGTGTGATTTTATGTCATCTCCAAGTGTCATGCACTTAGAAAATTACTCGAGTGTAGTGGCATGAACTCAACTACAACATTTAACCAGTTCCCTTTGTGTGACGTCAAGTGATATGTTCGACAACGTGTCGGGTCATGTTACAGGTCATTTACCGATCGATTCCTTATACAAGAGGATGCAGATGATAATTCTGAAGATGTTGAAGACAATTGAGCGACTTGATAGCATGCAGTGTGCTATTAGAGGCATCGATGAGGACACCCGTTGGATAGATGAATTTGTGTAAACAACGACTATGTGGAATCTAAAAAACTGTTGCCAAAAGAGTTTTAAAATGAGGACTAGATAAATTCCTTGCAAGCTTAGTTTGGTGATCTTGGTTCAAATTTTGAGCAACTTGAGGACTACACATTAAAAAAGAATCTATTCGAGAACAAAGTTGCATTGATTTTCACTGTACTATACATGAATGGTCCATTAAGAATCGGGTCAAATTCAAGCCAATGAAAACTAATACCACAAATTACCATGTAAAGCGCTACTTCAACAACGAGAAGGGTGAAGGAGAGTATGCAGGTGCTCAAGATGAAAGAAATGTGAAGTGTCATTGGAAGCTAAATGAAGCTGTTAGAAAAAAAAGTCAAATAGGCAATTTATGATCTTAGTTCTTGAGACTTCATATATGTTGCAATCTGACTATCAATGTCGATCATAAGGCAGCAACTTCTTCTTATATATTAAAGCTAATTATGCTCAAAGGAGAAAACTTGATCTGACTCCAAGTCAGATAATTACAAGGGTATACGATATGAGGAAAATAGACATCCATATATAAGGTATATGATGCACAGACGAAGGCGTTGACTAAAACCTTAAAAGATTAAGAGAAATCAAATAAATTACTTCTGCAATATCTTGAAATAATTAAGAGGAGAAATTTGGGTATCGAATATGAGATATTGTCTAAAGGGATTGCATTGGGAGTGGAGAGGCTCACGTGAGTATTTTAGGTATTTGGTCCCACTATCAAGGGTTTCACATTCTGTCTTCCGCTTTTGAGCATCGATAACACACATTTATATAGCAAGTACAAAAGAGTGCTTTTAGTTGCGATCGGAGTAGATGCAAATAGTGGGTTATTTCCATTGGCCTTTGCAGTTGTTGAGGTAGATGACACATCAAGTTGGAAGTGACTTTTTTAATGTATTTACATATCAATTCCAATTGTGCTATTCCAGAACGACTACTTTTATTTTCGACAGCGTGAAAGGAATTCCACAGGCCTTGCATGAAGGTTTTGGAGCACTACATCATCGCCGATATTGTTTGAGGCATATAAGAGATAATTTTAAGAAAAAACACAGGGAAATCAATTTACAATATTTATTGTGGCAAGTCGGTTATGCAGCGGACACATTAGTGTATGAGCACTGTAGGGAGAGAATTAAGTCATTGTTAGTTGAAGAGCACAACTAGATTGAACAAAACTTGAAACCACAATACAAAAATCGATGGACGTTAAGTAAAAATGGTGGGTGCATTATGGTATGATGACAACTAATTGCTCCGAAAGTTTGAATGGCGTACTTAAGTGTGCCCGGGCTATGCCAATTCAAGCCTTGGTTACAAGGACATTTTACAGGTTCAACACATACTTTAACAAAAGACATGGTGATGGTGCAAGTTAGACGACAAGTTACACCCTAAAAAAGAGAGCATATTGCAGAAAACGATTGTGGCTGTAAAATCATGTAGAATTACTATATTCAATGACAATGAGTGGGAGGTCAAAGATTGTGAAGATACTTACACTATTTATCTCTATGACCAAGAGCGCATTTATACTTGTAATATACCACAATTCCAAAAATTATCATGTGAACATATTTTAGCGGCTAGTTCCAATCAAGATGATGGTGCTAAAATGTCTTATGATCGGTATTGCTCAACTTAGTATTCAATAAATCATTACCGTAAGACCTACAATGAGAGTTTTCATCCTCCCGATGATAGTTGCTATTAGCCGGCTTATGATGTACCACATCTATTACCACCACAATTTTAAATATCCACGACATGCAGTGTTTTAAATATCGGCCGACATGTCGGACATGTCGGCCGATATAGCGGATCGAGGTGTCGAGCGACACAAATCGGGGAAATACAAGTCGTATATCGTTTTTGGGCGATATATCGGTCATGTCGGCGAAAAATCGGAGATATCGGCCGCTATTTCCTATTTGAAAAATCGGCCAAAATTTATTAAAATCGGTTCAGCTTATTGGCTTTGGTTTGGGTTAATTGGGTCGATGACTTGCCCTCTTTTCGAACCCGATAGACACCTCAACGACTGATATACACCCGATCAAAAGAAAAAGAAGAAAAAGAAGGAGAAAAACACTCGATCAAAAGAAGAAAGGAGAAAACCCCTAGTTCTCGCTCGCGACTGGGAACTAGCGGCCTCCTCTCGTCGTTTTGCCATCGTGGTCTCAACAACAACAAAAACCCTAGGTCTTCGTGGTCAGAAATCCGAAGCTCCTCTCTTTTTCTGCGCCATCGGAGTTCTCGTCTGTGGATTTCCCCGCGCCGCCGCCATCGAAGCTCCTTTGGTAAGCCTCTCTAACCTCTCTCTCTGACCTCTCCGCCTTTTCGTCTGATTCTGACTCTTCGTGGCCTCTCTGAAGTCTGACCTCTCTCTCTCTTTCTCTCTCTCTCTTTCTCTATTTCGAACCCGATAAGACTCTGATTCTGACTCTTCGTGGTTTTTAACGGTCCCACTATCAAGGGTTTCACATTCTGTC